CCCCCCCCCCGGAACGAATGGGGCCACGGCCGGCCCGCAGGATGCTGTCACTGTCAAAGGCTCCAACCCACCCTTTCCCCAGGTAGTGCCACCCCCAGACCCTGGGAAGGGAAAATACCAGCCTGCCAGCTACTGAGCACTTGCTGGGTGTCGCAGGCCAAGCATCTTCAGAGCGTCCTGCCAACGACCCAGTGAGGGCCATGTGATCGTGTTGTCCCCATTTACCAGGAAGGTGACTAAGGCTCAGAGAGGTTAAGGATCTTACGTGAGGCCACACCAGTGAGTTGCTGAGCTGAGCTTTGCACCAGAAACCTGACATCACTGTGACGGAAGGTGCAAGGCCAGGGGTGCCTGGGTCTTGGCAGATTAGGACACCAGAGCTGTTTGGGGGAGGGAGGAGCTGACAGCCAACTGGGATGGACAATCGGCATAGTGAGGACAGACTTGCCCGGGGACTGGGCATTTACAGCATCGGCACACGGCCTGGCAAAGAGTAGGCCCTTGGTGGCCGTGAATGAGTATCCCTGGGATATATCCTAGGGTCTGATCCATAGAGGTCGGGGAAGGGGTAGACATCCCATCGGCCTTCCCTGCCCCTTGGGGACCATGGGTGTTCATGGCCCCACCCTTGCCCTTTGACCTGACCTTGAAACAAGTTTGACCGCATGTTATAGCCCAGGTCGTAGTAGTCTGAGAAGATGGAGGCGATTTCCACAGAATTCTGAGTCCTGCTGGGCCACGAGCTCGCCCTCTTGTGACCCTCAAAGTCTTCACCAATGGCCCTTCGCGCCTGAGCAGGGAGGGACAGAGGAGACACAAGGGGCAGAGAAGCAGGGTCAAGCCTTGTATTTCCCTGTGACTCCCTCGACCCTGCCCTCACCACCCCACCCACCCTCAGCCTGCAGCCTTCAACCAAGCCCCAGGGCTGGGGAGCCGGTAGCTGAAGGCCCCTCCACCCACCTCCCACGCCACCTCCCCCCTCACCTCCCCCTGGGCAGGGACTTCAGAGAAGACAGTGATCATAAACCCCTCCTGCACTGAGCACCTACTGTGCACCTCTTCAGGAGAGGCTATTTTATAAATGTGGAAAGCTGGGGCTCAGGGCAGGGACTCAGCAAAACCATAGCCGAGTAACCACTGAGCCTGATTGGCCTCCTGGGATGGAGGCAGCACTCTAGTCAGCTCTAGGTGGCTCCTCTGATTGCATGGAAGCCAACCCTGCCTGTACAGATGGGGAAACTGAGGCCCAGAATTATTGAGCCTAAGCCTAGGAGCCAGGAAGCCTGGGTTTGAGTCCCAATTCTGCCACATGCCAGCTGCTGACTTTAGGCAGGTCTCTGCTCATCTCTGGGCCTTCCGAAGGCCGAGAGAGGCCGCAAGAGTGACCATGCCTCAAACTGGACAAGATTCTCCAAGTAAGGCAGAACATTTAGGACAGTGACCTCCCAAGCTAGCTGGTGGGTGGGCTCACCGCACCTTCAGATGACAGATGGAAGGTGACCTGGTGAGTCTGGATCTTCCACTAACTCAATATGGCTATGAGCAGATTATAGCCCTTCTCTGAGCCTTGCTTTTTCCATCTGTTAAAAGGAAGCAATAGCCCAGCCAGCGTGGCTCAGTGGTTGAGCATCGACTATGATCCAGGAGATCCCGGTTTGATTCCGTCAGGGCACATGCCCAGATTGAGGGCTCGATCCCCAGTAGTGGTGTGCAGGACACAGCTGATCAATGATTCTCTCATTATTGATGTTTCTATCTCTCCCCCTCTCCCTTCCTCTCTCTGAAGTCAGTAAAGATGTATTTTTTTAAAAAGGAAGTAAGAGCTCCTGTCCAGCCTACTGCACAGTGATGTTACTATGAGTGTTGAGAGGGAGGCTTTGAAAATGTGTCTCTCAATTCAGAGTAGGAAGAACCCTTAGTACTTGGCCAGAAGTGGCAGGTGAATTTTATCTTGACTTCAATTGATCAGTAATAACTCCCTGAAATGCTATATCCGGTGGGGAGAGGTGCCGGCATTGATTAGTGATGTCTGTCATGGGTGCACACTAGGAATGCTGTGGGAGGCATGCTAGGTATTTGCCAGCGGGATCTAGTCCAGCTGCCTCACTTCACAGACGTAGCGACTAAAGCCCAGAGAGGGGAAGTAACTTATTCAAAATGACCCAGCCCTTGGGGCAGAGCCAGGACTCAAACCCAAATCTTCTGATTCCCCATCAATGCTGTCCATTCGCTGCAGTCTCCTTTAGATCTGTGTTGAACATATCTCATTCAAACATGAGACTTATATCTGCAAAGTCATCAAGGGCTAGGGCTTCCGAATCTGCTGGCCAGTTTGGGAACTCATCCTACACAACTGGGCAAGTTGGGTAACTTACTCAACCCCTCCTAAGACTTGGCATCTTACCCTAGAGATGAGGAAATAGTACCTTTCTGGTTGGGAAGACGAAATGAGTTGTTATATGTGAAGGGTTTAAACAGTACACAGTGCCTGGCACATAGCAGGTGCTCAGTAAACACTGCTTTCTGGTAATATTGTTACAGGGACTCTGCCCTCAAGAGTGGGCTCCTGTGGGGTCTCATTGTAAGTCTCCATGCATCACCCTCCTGCCGCCCTTGGCTCCTGCACCCTGTGCTGACACCTGCTCTTCGGAGACCAGCTCGTCCACCACGTTGCTCCCAAACTTGTGGCGAATGTTATCAGGAATGACGCTGCTCCTCTGGCCCTGGGCCCCCAAGTTGGGGTCTTCCTTCAGCTCCTGGCATGGCTGAACCCCCTCTTGGAAAGTGGCCTTGCTCTCCCTCGAGGAGGGTCTGTAGCTCCCCTTCTTCAGTGACCCAGGTCGTAAGTCCATCCCAGAGGAGTCCCTGCTGACAGGTGAGGGGTTTGGAGGCCGGACCCCCTCCAGGTGGGCCTGTCCCAGGAGGTTGCTTCGGGGGCTGCCTCTCTGGGGCAGGGACGGCTGAGGGGAGACTGGGGCCTGGCACTTGAACTTAGAGGTATCCAAGGGGCTATGGGCAGTTCTCCTGGGGTCGGTGTCCTGCTGGCCTTCTTTGTTGTTCAGATGGCCCCTGGTCAACGCAGTTGTACCTGAACAGAGGGGAGAAAGAGGGAAGGAGAGACGGAGACAGACAGACAAATGCAGAGTGGAAGGCAGGAAGGGAGACAGCGGTGGGGGTGGGGAGGGGAACAGGCAGACACAGAGCCCCAGAAATCCAGAGCAGAAAAGAGGATGGGAGCAGAGAGGTCACGGGAGTCAGAAGCATGGGTGAGAAATTTGGGAAGAGACAGGGAGAGAAGTTAGTCCAGCTGCCAAGCCTCCCATGGGACAGGGTCGTCCCACAGGGTTTCTGACAATAGGAGCCACAGCCCTGAAAGCTGGCACAGGGCACTACTTGGCTTGGCCAAGTCACACAACTGGAAAGGACCAGAGCTGGGTCTGGGCCTCAGTCTTTGTTCCCCTTCTGAGCTGCTCCCCCACCCTCACTTCCCTCCTCTATTCTCTGGGTTAATCGGGTGGTGTGACCCCAGCCTAGTCCCCCGCTCTCACAGGGCACCTCTCCGCTCCCGTCTCCCAGTCCCAGGAGGTCTCCTGCTCCCAGCCTGAGAGGTCTCCTCTTCCTCCCCTTCTCCCATCCCCAGCATTTGCCCAGGCTGGTTCTGCTACCTAGAAGGCCACCCCTCCTTTCCCTAGATCAAAATTCTACCATTCCTTTCAGTGCGGCCTCACCAGGAAGCCCTCCTGGACGCCCACCCCAAGCTGCGGGCCAGCTTCCGCCCCTCAACTTCACAACCCTGTCCCCAGCATAATCCACGAATCTCCCCCTGGGTTTTTCCTTTCTCCATCACTGAGCTACAAACCATCTGGTTTCTCCTCTAAACTGGGGGGAGAGGGGGCAGGGCCATTAAGGTGGGGTCCATGGGTGAGTCAGCCCTGGGCCTCCCACAGCACCCGCCAGAGAACACTGTGCGTCGGGCTGTAGGTGAAACCCCTCATGAGTGAGGGGCGAGTAGGAGGCTGCGAGGGAATCAGACCCAGAGTAACGCTGCTCTCGAGTCTGAGAGGAGGCCAGACCGCCTCCCCCCCTTGTCCTGGGCTCTGCCTCCGGGGGAACTAAGGCTTCCAAGACGCGGATGACGACCCTTCTCAGAAGGAGTGGAGGCAGAGAGCTTGAAGAGCACTCAGTGCCCCCCTCATCAATCTCCTGCTCACGGGGAAACGGAGGCCTAGTGCAAGGATGGACTCCTCCTGGGGTCCCCCAGCATTCAGGGCTCGGGGCTCCAGGGCAGTGCTCCCCATTTTCCCCAGGCTGTGCTCCTGCCTGCCTCCTCTACCAGCATATTCTGCGGAATCGCCTGCTCAGCCTATGCGAGTTAAGTGTTTGTTGAATGAATGAACAATCGGCAGCTAGCATTCCAGGAATCTCATTGTAACTCTACCTTTCCCTCCACTCTATTCATTCAGCTGTAAAATGGGCAGAGTAAATCCTATTTTACTTGCTATCTAAGGATCAAAAGATGAGTGCTCAGAGTTTTCCAAGTTGGCCATTTACCAGAATTCCCCAGGATATAAATTAAAAATACAGATTCCTGGGCCTCTCCCAGAGCTGCTGTATCAGGATCTCCATGGGAGAGGCTAAGAGTCTGAGTGTTTGACAAGGTCCCTGGGTCATTTGGCTCACTGGAGAAAGCTTCTAGCAGGAGTCCCGCCCCCACCTCATCCCATCTGCCCTCACCCATGGGGACCCTTCTCAGACCTGAACTAATCCAGTCACAGTGCATTGAAACCCTTCCCCATGTCCTCAGGACAGAGCCTCCACCCTCGGGGATCTGGCCCAGGACCAGGCTTGGCCTGGCTCCCACCTCACCCTCCAGTCTTCAAGCCATATTGAATTTCATGCAAGCACCACCCTCTCTCACCTCCAAGCCTCTGTCCACACTGCCGGGCCTAGAACACTCTCCTTCCCTCCTTCGGCCCCACCCCACCCCTGCTTGGCTCGCTCATGAACTGCGTGTACTTCCCACTCTCAGAGACCTGGCCTCTCTCCCCCCGCCCCCCACTGCCCTACTGTGTTCCCCCACAGCCTGCCCATCCACTTGGATGAAAAAGGGGCTCTACAGAAAGGAACCTCACAGGGTGAGCTGATCATAAACTCCTAACCGGTGAGGTCCTGGTGAGCAGTCACACCCCTGGCATATGACTCCTTCATTAAAGGTTATCCCTGCCTCAAGCAAGCCCTGTCCATTGTTTCTAGATTAACACGCTTTTGAAATGCCTCTTTTCAGATCCCCCCTTCTAATAGTGACCACCCTTCCAGACATTCCTTATAATAGTGACTACCTTTTTAGAGTCTCCCCTTCTAATAGTGACCACCTTTTTAGAGTCCCTCCTTCTGAGATGTAACCACCCTCAAGAGAGTGAGTAATCTTAACTTTCCTGTCATCCAATCCCTGCCTTGCTTTCCCCCACCTCCATGTAACCTTCCTTATGTTCCCTCCTTGGGAAGGCACCCCAAGCTGCGATACTTCTTCCCAAGCTTAAAACAAGCTGCGATACTTCTTCTCCGAAGCATTTGAGATCTTGCTTCCCGGTATACGTTGTCAGTTCAGCCCAAATAAACTCATAAAAATTCTCTACAAGTTTGGACATTTCTTATGTCAACATGCTGCCCACAGGGGGCTGCTGTCTCCCCTCTGAGCCCTCAGGACGGGCCCTGTGGCAGGGTCGTGATCCCCAGGCCTGGCAGATGGGACAGGCCCAGTGATATTCCTTTCCCTCCCTTTTCCTTCTGTCTTCAACAGAATGCCCTGAGGAAGTCAGGGCCACACAGAGGGCTAGGGGAAGGAGTAGTCCCCGCTGCCCCTGAGGAGTCCCTCCCAAAGCCCTGGCTGTGCACTGAGTGTCCCTGGTCAGTGCGTCCCTGGCCGGCCAGTCCTACCTGCTTGGTGGCCCAGCTCCATAGACTCTTGTTCCAAGCTTAGTCCTGTAAACAAAGAAACAAACTGTCGTCTCAGATGTCATAGAGGCCCCGTGAATGGAAGTAAGCTGAGAGTGGAACAGGGAGACCTGTGCCATCTACCCAGCCCCTGACCAGAGGCCCCTCCATGCAGCTGCCCCTAGTGCTCTCTGGCACTCAAGGAGCCCCACGCCCCATCCACCCATCACCCCTGGGCCTGCCTCCTGGACCCCCAGACTCTGCCCTTTCTGGAAAGCCTTGGGCACCCCCACCACCAGTGAATGCCTCACACAGCCTGGGGCCTGGGCCCCTCTTCCTCCTGCTTCTCCCCCATCTGCACCAGCCAACACTCCCCTGGCCGTGGGGTGCTGTCCAAAGCTCCCCATCCTGATGACTAGTTGCCTTTCTGCAAATAGGATTTTGTCCATTTTACCAGCTGGTCATTCAAGCTCAAGCAAAGGGAACCAACTTGGCCAATGTGGAGAACAGGATCCAACTCTGGTGTATGTAACCTGTCTTTCCTCCGAAGACAGGCCTTTGGGCCAAATTTGGGGGTCCGCTCTGGCATCTTCAAAAGCCTCTGCACCTTTTAGGGTTGTGTTCCTTTTTCTTAGGTGATCTTTTTATTATTCATATTCTCGTCACTTTTTAGAAAGGTTTTTGTGAATTTTTAAATAAGATAAAATTTCTGCCACCTGAATCACCCTTCCCCAGTTGAGCCTTGATGTGAGAACACAGCCCAGCCGACACATTAATTACAGCCTGTGGGAGACCCTGAGCCAGAGGACCCAGCCAACTACACCCAGGATCCTTACCCTGAGAAACTGGGAGATAATAAATTTTTCTTTTTTTTTAAAGCACAGGTTTTATGCTGCTGAGCTTTGTGGTGACTTTTTATGCAACAATAGCTAGCTAATATTTTGGTACCAAGAATAGGGCGCCTCTGTAACAAATACCTAAAAATGTGGGAGTGGCTTTGGAACCAAGCAGTGGGTGGCACCTGGGAGAATTTTGAGGAACATCGCGGAAAAGGCCTTAAATTGCCTTAAGCAGACTGATAGCAGAAATCTGAACTTGGAGAATGCTGCTACTGAAGGCACACAAGGAAGTGGGGGACATGCTATCAGAACCTGGAGAAGAAGAGCTCTTGTGTAGTGACAGAAACTTAAGGATGCTCATTGGCAGTCACGTGGAAAGCAGAGCATGTGACTAACGAACTGGATGACCTAGCAAAGGAGATTTCCAAACAAAGTGCTGGAGGTGCCTCCTGGTTTCTTCCTGCTGCTTGTAGCACAATGTGAGAGGGGAGAGAAAGATTGAACAAAGAGCTGTTAGGACTTAGAGGCAGGACTTAATAATTTTGAAATTTCTCATCCTCTCCAGATGTCAAAAGATGCAAAAATTAAGAAAAGGCTTCTGGGAGAAAATGGGAGACATCTGTAATACTGTCAGCAATAAAATAAAATTAAAGAAAAAAAGAAAAGAGAAAAGAGAAAAGGGGAGGGGAAGGGAAGGGAAGGGAAGGGAAGGGAAGGGAAGGGAAGGGA